TCTTAACCCATAGCTTTAACGTTGCCTATCTACCATCCCAACCATTGCTTTCGATATTAAAGTGGTTTACGCGTCATTCAATACCGTTTTAACAAACATAAAGGGACCAGAAAATGATTTTATTAACCTTGCAAATTATCAGATGGTATGGCTACGCTTGGTTCCACGGTCCTCCGGCGATGGACTCTGGTGTCTGCGCACGCCATTTGCCCTTGTCCTGTAAAAGACAAGAAATTATGGGGGTCAGTCAAACATAGGATGCTTACTAATGTGTACATGAAAAGCCTGTGCTCGTATCAAAAAAGGTAATGATTTAGTTCTTTTTGTAGTTCACTTACAATCCTATAATTAATACATCCCTTTCCCTTTGTATACACTTATCAGCTCCATATCGGTATTCTAACTCTTATCAAGTCAATGTGCACTTCCCCTGGTAGAACTCAAACAGTGAACATGGCCCTATACGTAGCAAATTACCCTGGACCAGCTGAACGTTTGGTGCGAACTCCCCTTTCGCGCTGTCGTCCACGTGTTTGCGGAGCATCTAAGTGAAAACCAACGACAACCAAACAGACAGGACATTAATCTGAATTTGTAGCAGCATATTTGTAGCACCAGATTCTTCACCATAAGTGAGCATGAGATAATGTCACTCAAGTATTTGGGAAAAATGGGATCCGTTTCCTGCTTGCGAAAACGATTCAATTTACTCGCTGTTTCATTCCATAACACAAAACACAAGACAACAACTTTCAGTGTTCCTAATTTGTACAATACCTTTCATCCAGTTGTTAAACCTCATTCCCTACGGACTTTAATGCGAGAAAGATACTAGCTATGAATAACACAATGGATTTCTCTCTTTTTACTTCTACTATTGGTTCACCGTCGGAGTGTCAAATTTCATGCATGAAAAGTAACAACATGGAGTGTTTTGCTTGAATGGTATATTCATTGTCTTACCTGGTAATTGAGGGGGCACACGATTGTCACAACCTGGAGCATGGCATAAAGAAAACACGATAAATTAGACCTTCACGGAATTCGGCCGTAAATAATGCAGTTCAGTAGTTATTAAAAGACAGGAAATGCCAAACGCAACAAAATATGAAATATCTGACTCACATCTTGGGTGAACGAGTTCACACTGATCGCCCTTTGGGCAGAATCCCCGCCAGTATGCGATGCAAATTCTGGCAGTGATATTGGAGTCTTGAGATGGATCCATTTTCAATATCTCGGTGAAACTTAAACCAACGCCATCACCACTGCATCTTCGTTGAATATATAGTGGCCACTAAGTACGGTCGTATACTGGTTGTATAACATACAGTGTTCAAACGGTAATATTGTATGATATACATGTACTATGATCGAAATATCGACAATACTCACATAACAGTCGTAGAAATGAAATACCTGAAATGAGAAAAATGCCACTCCGGACAGGCCTTGAACCAGGACCTTGTTCGTCATGAGCAATGTGACAGACATCTGAGCTATCCTATTATTATCATTTATGTACATAATGTTAGGCCCAAAATATTAAAACTCAGATACTAAGCCAGGACTAATTGTAAAAAAAGAGAAGAAAAACATGGGAACGAGTTGTTCAGCACTAGAGATTTGTTAGAGCTATAGGTCTCCGGTCGATGATTGTCTCAGTAGCCGCTCATTTTTGTACCCTATTATCGCACTTTCTGACTGTTCATCATCTTGTTACCGTCGTGGATAGTTGCTGCATAACTCGTTATCATGTCGTTCTTCTCTTTATTAAAATGTAACGTACCTGTGGGTAATGATGTCTACAAAATGTACGTTCACATATGCCACCTTCACGTCCTTCCCCTTTGATAGGCATCCAGTTGCCTTTGGATAATCCTTGAAAATATGATATCTTGAAAATATAATATCAACAACTCACTTAGTTCATATGTGACACATCGCAAGCAACATCAGTTGGCTCTCTTCTGATGTACATGCAGTAGTATAACTGTGGTAGCTTATCATCAAAAGGATTATAGGGACCCGAATACGCCAGATTCAATTATAGGCTCTCCTTCTACCATGTATAATAATAATATCCTGCCATCCGCTTTACAGCAGAATTTGTGGTCGTCTTTGTAGATAAAGCCGGCTGTGAAGAACTGAACAAATTGTCCATATTTCATTTATTGCTCTCTATGTAAAATGTTCAAAGCCAGAACCGCATGTCGTTTCTCACTGCTTTGCATTGCAAAGACGTTTCTATCAGTGGTATTAACTACATTATATTGTTGATCTAGGTGAAAACGCAACACAGCGACCGTTTAAATCCTCTTTGTTTCTATGTTTCATTACACAAGTAAATTTAGTTCACACATTTCGATTTTAACACAAATTCATACCTGTAACTTTAATAGGTCTAATTAAATGTTTTCTAACATCAAATGGCATCGAAAAGTACTATCGCCCTGCATACAGACCCTTGGTGTACTTTGCATACACACACATTCTAGTAAGTTGATTCACATTTTGATTTTATTGGTGAAAGTACCATTTCAATTTACATGCCAACTGGCGCCATACATCACATGATCACTCGTCACATTGTGGATATGACTTTGTGACATCTATTGCAGATGCAGATTTAATCCATTCTAACCCCAAAGCTTTGGGGTTCTGTGTTCGCCATCGAATCTTACCTCGCAAATTATTTGCATAGCGATTGCAATGTACAATGTAGAGGAAAAATTCGGCTTACCAAAACTATTCTCCGGCACCGCATCAAAATGTGAATGAACTAGACACAGAAACATAGGAACATCGACAAATAAAAACAAAGGAACGCTAAAATTAATGTTCTATTTGCAGCAATAAAGTCTACAATACATGACAAGACAACACACTGTTAAAAACCCCAGCATAACAACCATCATTGATACCTACCTTTTGGATGGACCGACGGGCACGACGACTCAACGCCCTGACTTTGCCCTAACCAAAGATCAATGCATATCCCCTCGCACGTTTCGCCATACACGCGTACGTGCTAACGTCTCTATGTACTTGACTGGTGCATTCACTGGACGAAGCATCCGTTGCACGTTTAACACTATTCTCGCCGTTTACAATTGACTCATACGTGACTTGGCTTGGTGCTCTGCTAGCCTCTTGAAACTATTTCAGACTTTCGAAAGCCTCTCCGATGAACTGGCTTCAAAGCTGCGAACAAAGTAGCCAAAGCACAAACCACTATGATTTTAAGGTTAGTAACCATCAGGTATGCTTATTATAGATTAACGTGCCAGTGTGTGAAAAATGTAAAAAAGATGAGAAAGATCAACAGTAACATGCAAAGTGCTGATGTACTTGGAAGCCAAAACCCACTACAACATGGACCATACCAGAGAAACAATGTGTATAGGTATTAATTAGAGGAAAACCTTATGGAGCGTTGTAAGTAGGATAAGAGTAGTAGACCCCGCGAACGGGCGGATCTTCCTACGAGTTTCACGGCGGTGGAGTTTAAACAGTTAACACCGTGTATTTGCAGAAAACTGAGGAACGAAGATGGGATATACCCAGCCAGCACGGTAGTGTCAGCAGTCATGACCAGCTGTAACACCAGTTGTCTGCATTTTCCCTGCCAGTGCTGAAAAGCTTGTTCCCACGCGTCAGCATCCTTTTTTATTAGAAAACACAACCCAAACCAACTAAATATCAGGTGAAGAGGATAACTGAAATGACACTGGACTACAAGACAAAGTGGAGTGGGGGCCCCTGCCGCTCTCCCTTCCTAGCTTCCCCACAGCAAGGGGATGCAATCATTTAAAGGGTACGGTTATCGCCATATTCGCAGCACAAACTGGCTTTGGAAGGTCCTCTCGCTATGATGCTATGATAGTTTTCCCAACACGTTCGCAGGTGTCACGCTTTGCTTTAGCCCTGTTTTTACTTCGTTGTCTGACTTGTACAGCTCTTTCTATTTTTCCTTTTTTTTGGTGCGGTTTCACGATGATGAGGGTGCTAGTGACAACAAAACAACTAATTATAGCTGCTCTGTTCTAATGAGCCATAGTTGCCTCTGTCGAGGTGCGTTTCAGTAGAATGAGTATTCCCGAAAGCTTATTGTGCAGATGGTCACCTCCCTTTCCCATTGACTCGGTCATTCAGAATGCTACGTACCCAGTTTCCCTCCTCCCTTGCTTCTTCCAGTTGTGAGATATTGAGATAACTATTTGCTACAAGTACGTTCAGCGTATACCACTCGATACCGGCACAGCTTCGCCCGTATAATATCACCGAACACCAAGAGGTGAGCGGTAAACTTTTTTTATTCTTTCCACACGAAAACATTGCATATGCATACAATGCCATAATGTATCAACTAAAACGACACATATACAAAAACGTGAACATTGTATACATATGTGCATTCTCGTGACATGTGGTTTGCAACGAGACTATGTTCCTATTGTGCATGCATTGTAATAAATAAAACCATGACCTTTTGTTTGACACAAGAACATTGAATGCGTTGTTATACATGTACAAAAATATCACAATGTGGAGACCTCCCTCGTAAGTATTCCGCTACTTCGACGCTCACGATATCGTAATTACTCTTCTTTCTGTAACAGTATCAAAACAACAGAAGACAGAAAATTGATTTCCAGAGGATTAAATTCCATTCAACATGTTATATGAATCAAATTAATTAGAGTCACACTGTAAATTTAACGGAGATTCAATGTTGAGTTTTCCTCCGTCCCGAGATATATTGGGGTCTGCTTAGACCCCAGTGGTATTTCGCCGGGTATTCACGCACTCAGACCAAATTTTGCCGATTTTCTTCTTAGAATTCTCCTATGGTATGTCAATGCTGAAAACAAAGTACATATTTTGGCTGAAAACGTGAAGTGGAACGTGAGGAAAATATGATACTTCATGTATCGAAGATTGCACAGAAACACGAAGAGCGCTCAACGACCGGTTAAACGGCATATAGTTGCACTTACGTATGGCTTTACTGATGGCTCCGTTTTGCTGACGCTGGACCCATCCGAGGCGTTGTCAACGGGTGGGCCAGGAGTGTCTAGATCCAGGAAAAAATGAAAGAAACAATTTTCATAAGTCGCGCCCCGCCTACTTCTGCTATCTGATTCAAAGAAAGAAGCGGATATGGTGTTTCCCTATTTGGTATTGCAAAGACATTTCTATCAACTGGAATAAAGAGTGCATGAGGATCTAGGTAAAGAAACGAACAGCGATGGTTTAAATCGCTGGAATTGCATCCCATGGGGTTCCGGATTAGCGCTTCCATCTTCTTCATGAAATTCTGTGAATTAAGAATAGAGATGGCAAGATCATCTTACCGAAGTTGTTTTCTGGCACCGGATCATACTGCCGAGGGAGGCCTTTTGACAACTCACACGCTGGACACAGACACAGACAAATATGGATCAAAGGAGGCTATCAAAGGAGGCTAAATATATAATAGCAACAATCAAGTGTGCAAGCATTTAGAAATTTCCTGACAACATTAGACCGTTATGTTAGGTTAGGTACATTGGCGAGATTGGGTCTTCAAGCAACCACCTTCATAATCCTCAACATTGGTTATTTGAATGATGCCTTCTAGCCTTTATTGCTCACCATGTAGGTGAATGAATGGGCACGAGGGACGAATGCATCTGCCCAACCAATGGTCAATACATATCCTTGATTCCCACTGATCCGCACAATCTACAAAACGCTTAATTAAAGGAAGAGACGGAGGCAGATGTGCGATGGGAAAAACTTGACTGGGTACTTGACTGGGTACTTGACCGGGCACTTTGGACGGCTCCATTTTTTGAACAAAGAACAATTTAAAAATTTGCCGACCAGAAGTGAAAAAAACACGAACGCAATGATAGCATTAGACACTCGCTTTTTATAACGAAATATTGCTCCAACTTGGAGTATCGCACAACGAATTATAATTGAGAACATAATAAGTATAAGTTGAACTAACTTCAAGTCTTATGCACGGAGTTTGTACTTTAAAATAAAGATTATACGATACACATTACAACATGCTCAGTTGCTCACTTTTTGCTTTCAAATAGTTTGTGGGTTGCATACAACAACTTTCCTATGATTGAATAAACATTTCGATACTGTGACTGATAACGCTTGTGGTACTGATAGCAAAACAATCACCAGAGCACCGCTCGCCCACTACTCTACAGTCTTTGGCAAGAATAAAATAAGCACAGCACGTTGCCATTACTATCTGTTCTACCGATGTGCATCAAGAGAGCAGAGCACCAAAAAGTGCAACCGCTCTCCACCAGCGCACATCAAGCAGCCTGACCTATTTTGGGCACACATGCCGCCCATCTGGCTGTGAGCTTGTACGTGACGAGATGTTTGGGGTCGTGGATGGTAAGAGAAAGTGTGGTCGTCCGAAGATTTCCTTTGCTGACAATATCGTTTCGTGGACTGGTATGTCTCTGCATGAGAATTGCCAATTGGCACCTGACAGAGATGCCTGGCAGTCACACTGTGCATCTACTGCTTACACAGCTGCATAATGCCGTCTTTTATTTTATTTTTTTATTTTACTATCATTATTTTTTCGGCAACGCAGATGATGATGATGATGAACTGATAGCAAATTGAAAACCCTACAAGCATCATCCCCAACTCAAGTGCTCGCTTTACTGCAAATTACAATTTCTCTATCTATGCTATCTATCTATCTATCTATCTATCTATCTATCTATCTATCTATCTATCGCCTATCTATGCTCTTGAAAATCGTTCACATTGAAAATGATCTGCAAACAGGTAATTTTAATCAAATAACTGAAAACTTTATTCACACTCTCAAAAAGCACTATCCGAGTCCCCTTCGCCAACCAACACGAGAATTTATTTTACAAGTGTGAATTTTAACAATCAAAGCGAGAAAGGAACGAAGGAGAAAGGAAGGAAAGACAATGTGATAACACATAACAGCAGTACATTACACCTAGAACATTAACGGCCGAGCGTGGCCGCACTAAACACGACACGTTACTTGAACAATTTAAACCCAATTATACTTCTGTCTTTCCTTCCTTTCTCCTTTGTTCATTTCTCGCTTTGATTGTTAAAATTCACACTTGTAAATTTCACTGCTGTTGCTCTTAGTGTTATTTCTCTAACTTAGATTTTCTATAATTTAGTTTTTTTTATTCGTTTTATTATTTCACCTTCCCGGGGCCAGGGAATATAGGCCAATATGGAGTGAGGGGGCGATAGCTTTCAACTTTACTCCCTCGTCTGGCTACGAAATTGCGAAAAAAAAACTGTACTGAATACGAGAAAAATGAAAGGAACAAAGATCACAAAACGCAACATGCAAAGTTTGCGTATACTTTGAAGCCAAGATACAATACAACATAGACCATTCCAGAGGATCAACGTGTAAACGCATTGAGAGGAAAACATTATGGAGCGTTGGAAGTAGTATTGCAGTGTACACTGCTGACTAGACCTCGCGAGCTGGCAGATCTTCCTGTGGGTTTCACGTTTGTGGAGTGTAACATTTCAAAATTGTGAATTCAAGAGCCCAAAATCCAAAAGAGACAATGAGGGGGGGGGGGGGGGTGCACACTCAAAGTACTGGAAGAGGTGTTCTCTTACTAGAAGGTTAGTGTTCTATCTAATTGCTGACGTAGGTCGCTGTTGCGGGTTTATCAGCGATCTGTTTGATATCATCTGGCCTGGTTCAAATATTGATTTAGAAATTGTAGCTTTGGGGAAATGTGTGTTGCTACCTAAATGGAAGCTCGCATTTTTCCTGCCGATTCGAATTTTTACTTTATAGACTCACGACTGCCATCCAGAGCACACGAGAAGACCAGGGAACTACCCACTCGGTAAACCTGCAAGAAAGCACCACTCGCTGCTCAATATACAGTGTGTCGGAGAATTCACCCCTGATCAGTTGAGCTTGAGTAGGCTGAGGAAGATTGCGCCTAAAAACCACCACTTATATATTGCTCTCAAGGCACAAATATCACCAGGGATACAAATTTACAGAGACGCTTCGTTTCCAGCGCGAGCAACACCTCGTGAACACGATATGGCAGCGTGTGTCAGTGTCGCTATTGGAGGTGAAGAACAAGCGCTGAGCACCGTTTGCCATTCACAACTAATTCTCAAGCCCGCGCTTCGGTCAACAATGTGAAGAAGAGGTTGGTGCAACTTTTTTGCAGATACATGAGTAAGTCTGTCAAGTGAAAATTCAAGTCAGCAGGATTAGCGAGAGCTCCCATGTACGGAGCAACACACAATTTCCCACGTATCGCTTAAGTCGCATCAATCTCTTTTTCATATTAAGAGTTCTACGAGAGAGCTTGGAAGCTCAGGCCCCTACGCAATGCTTTTTTTGCATAGCTCATCATGCAGGTTATAAGAAATGATGGAACTTTCTCTTTGGCCCCAGGTTCATAGCGGTTATACAGTATTTTACGTGGACCGTGACGGCTACAATGCTTAACCATATCACAACGAACTGATCGGCTACATCATTGTATTGCAAAACAAATCCATTTTTGATTGCTATGATGCTATGATAGGTTTCTCAACAACTTCGCAGGTGTTTGCTTTTGCCCCATTTTCACTTTGGTTTCTGACTTATACAGCTCTTTCTATTTTTCTTTTTTTTTATCCCGTTTCACGTTGATGAGGATGCTAGTGACAACAAATTATACTTCTGATATTTCTATTTTTCCTTTTTTTATCCCGTTTCACCACGATTAGGATGCTAGTGACAACAAATTATCGTTCTGATGAGTCATGTTGCCTCTGTCGAGCCGCTTTTTAGTAGAAAGAGGATTCCCGAACCTTATTGTGCAGATGGTCAACTCCCTTTCCCATTAACTTGGTCTTTCAGAATCCTTCTTACCCAGTTTCTCTCTTTTCCCATTGCTTCTTACAGTTGTGAATTTTGCTACGCCGTGAATAATATCACCAAGCACCAAGAGACCAGCGATAAACTTTTTTTATTTCACACGAAAACATTGCACATTATATGGCATTGCACCTAAAACGTGATATTGTATACAGAAACGTGAACATTGTATACATATGTGCATGCTCGTGACATGTGGTTTGCAACGAGACTATGTTCCTATTGTGCATGCATTGTAATAAATAAAACCATGACCTTTTGTTTGACACAAAAACATTGCATGCGTTGTTATACATGTACAAAAATATCACAATGTGGAGACCTCCCTCGTAAGCATTCCGCTACTTCGACGCTCACGATATCGTAATTACTCTTCTTTCTGTAACAGTATCAAAACAACAGAAGAAAGAAAATTGATTTCCAGAGGACTACATTCCATTCAACATGTTATATGAATCGCACTCAGACCAAATTCTGCAGACTTTTTGTTCTTAGAATTCTCCAATCGCATGTCTATGCTGAAAACAAAGTACTTATGTTGGCTGAAAACTAGAGTGGAGCATGAGGGAAACATGATACTTGCTATATCGCAGATTGTACAGAAACTGCGCTCAACGACCGGTTAAACGGCATACAATTGCACTTACCGATGGCTTTTCCGACGGCTTCGTCTGGCTAACGCTGGACCCATCCGATTCGTTGTCAGCCGGAGGGCCAGGAGTGTCTAGATTCAGAAACAAAATGAAAGAAACAATTCATACCTTGCGCCCTTCCTACTTCTGATAACTGATTCAAAGAAAGAAGCGGATATGGTGTTGGTGTTTCCATATTTGGTACTGCAAAGACATTTCTATCAACCGGGATAAATAGTACATGAGGATCTAGGTAAAGAAACGAACAGCAACGGTTTAAATAGCTGGAACCGCATTCCATGGGGTTCCGGATTAGCGCTTCCATCTTCTTCCTGAAATTCTGCGAATTATGAATAGAGATGGCAAGATCATCTTACCGAAGTTGTTTTCTGGCACCGGATCATACTGCCGAGGGAGGCCTTTTGACAACTCACACGCTGGACACAGACACAGACAAATATGGATCAAAGGAGGCTATCAAAGGAGGTTAAATATTTAATAGCAACAATCAAGTGTGCAAGCATTTAGAAATTTCCTGACAACATTAGACCGTCGTGTTAGGTTAGGTACATTGGCGAGATTGGGTCTTCAAGCAACCACCTTCATAATCCACAACATTGGTTATTTGAATGATGCCTTGTAGCCTAAATTGCTTACCTTGCAGGTGAATGAATGGGCACAAAAACTGAGGACGATCGCACCTCCCTAACCAATGGTTAATACATATCCTAGATTCCCACTGGTCCGCCCAATCTACAAAACGCTTTTCTAAAGGAAGAGACGGAGGAAGATGCGCGATCGGAAATACTTGACTGGGAACTTGACTCGGAACTTGACTGGGCAACTTGGATGGCTCCATTTTTTGAACAAAGAACAGTTTTTACAGCTTTGCCAACTAGAGGTGAAAAACACGAGCGCAATGATAGCATTAGACAGTCGCTTTTTATAGCGACATATTACTCCAACTTGGAGTATCGCACAACGAATTATAATAATTCAGAACATAGAGTATATGTTGTACCAACTTCAAGTCTTCTGCACGGAGTTTGTACTTTAAAATAAAGATTATACGATACACATTACAACATGCTCAGTTGCTCACTTTTTGCTTTCAAATAGTTTGTGGGTGGCATACAACAACTTTCCTATGATTGAATAAAAAATGTCGATACTATGACTAATATGGCTTGCGTCCCTGATAGAAAAACAAACACCAGAGAACCGCTCGCCCACTACTCTACAGTCTTTGGCAAGAATAAAACAAGCACAGTAAGTTGCCTTTACTATCTGTGCTACCGATGTGCACCAAGATATCATAGCACCAAAAAGTGCAACTGCTCTCCACCAGCGCAAATCAAGCAGCCTGACCTATTTCGGGCACACATGCCGCCCATCTGGCTGCGAGCTTGTACGTGACGAGAGGTTTGGTGTCGTGGATGGTAAGAGAAAGCCTGGTCGTCCGAAGATTTCCTTTGCTGACAATATCGTTTCGTGGACTGGTATGTCTCTCCATGAGAATTGTCAAATGGCACCTGACAGAGATGCCTGGCAGTCACACTGAGCTGAATAATGCCGTTTTTAGGTTTAATTATTTTATTTTACTATTATTATTTTTTCGGCAACGCATATGCTGATGATGATGATGAACTGATAGCAAATTGAAAAAACCCTACAAACATCATCCTCAATTCAAGAGCTCGCTTAGCTGCAAATTAAAATTTCTCTATCTGTCTATCTATCTACCGCCTATCTATGCTCTTGAAAATCGTTCACATTGAAAATGATCTGCCAGCCGGTACTTTTAATGACAGAACTGAAATCTTTATTCACACTCTCAAACAGCACTATCCGAGTCCCCTTCGTCAACCAACACCGTGAATAATTTATTTTGGTTTATTTATTTATTTTATGAAAAGGCGACGAGGAGACAATAACTTTATTAATGCGATTAATAGTATAAGTGAAGCGGACATTACAAAATGATGAATGAGAATACATGTATCTAAAATGGTTGTTCCCCACCTACACCTCATAGTTCCTCACTCTATCACATTCAACTGCTTCCACGCCTTCATTTCACTCACCTTTTGTAGTAGCTCACACCGTCGGAACACTCTCACATCTTTTCTTCTAAATTCTTTCGTCTTCTCCCGCGCTTTCTTTTTTTCTTTTCACACCTAACCTTGTATACTTCCCACTATCCTATAACCTATAAGTAGTTTCTTTCTCTGTATAGCCTCTATTGTGAGACGATTTTTCCCTGATGATAGTTTCAAGAAAATCGATTAGGAACAACCATTTTAGATACATGTATTCTCATTCATCATTTTGTAATGTCCGCTTCACTTATACTATTAATCGCATTAATATTTATTTTATTTATTTCACCTTCCCGTGGCAACGGAATATAGGCCAATACGGAGTGAAGGGGGGGGGGGGCGATAGCTTTCAACTTTACTCCCTCGTCTGGCTACGAAATTGCGAAAAAACCCTGTACTGAATACGTGAAAAATGAAAGGTAAGAAAGATCAGAATGGCAACATTCAAAATTTACAATACTTTGGAGCCAAAACACAATACAACATAGACCATTCCAAAGAATCAACGTGTAAACGCATTGATAGGAAAACATTATGGAGCATTGGAAGTAGTGTTGCAGTATACATTGCTGACTAGACCTCGCAAACTGGCAGATTTTCCTGCGGATTTCACGTTGGTGGAGGGTAATATTTCAAATTAGTGAATTCAATAGCCCAAAATCCAAAAGAGACAATGAGGGAGGGGGAGGGGCACACTCAAAGTACAAGAAGAGGTGTTCTCCTATCAGAAGGTTTTTTGTTCTATATAATTGCTGACGTAGGTGAGCTGGCCTGGTTCAAATATTGGTTTGGAAATTGTAGTTTTGGGGAAATTTGTGTTGCTACCTAAATGGGAGCTCGCATTTTTCCTGCCGATTTCAATTTTCACTTTATAGTCTCAGGACTGCCATCCAGAGTACACGAGACGTCCATCGAACTGCCCACACGGTAAACCTGCAAGAAAGCACCACTCGCTGCTCAATATACAGTGTTTCGGAGAATTCACCCGTGATCAGTTGAGCTTGAGAAGGCTAAGGAAGATTGTGCCTGAAGACCACCACTTATATAATGCTCTCAAGGCACAAATATCACCGGGGATACAAATTTACAGAGACGCTTCGTTTCCAGCACGAGAAACACCTCGTGAACACCATATGGCAGCGTGTGTCAGTGTCGCTATTGGAGGTGTAGAACAAGCACTGAGCACCGTTTGCCATTCACAACTAATTCTCAAGCCCGCGCTTCGATCAACAATGTGAAGAAGAGGTTGGTGCGACTTTTTTGGCGATACATGGGTGAGTCAGTCAAGTGAAAATTGAAGTCAGCAGGATTAGCGCGAGCTCCCAAGTACGGAGCAACACACAATTCCCCACGTATCGCCGAAGTCGCATCAATCTCTTTTTCATATTAATAGTTCTAGGAGAGAGCTAGGAGGCTCACGGCCCTACGCTATGCTTTTTTGCCTAGCTCATCATGCAGGTTATAAGAAATAATGGAACTTTCTCTATGGCCCCAGGTTCATAGCGGTTATACAGTATTTTACGTCGATCATCACGGCTACAATGCTTTTAAAACCATAATCACAACGAACTGATCGGCTACATCATTGTATTGCAAAACAAATCTATTTTTGATTGCTATGATGCTATGATGCTATGATGCTATGATAGGTTTCCCAACAACTTTGCAGGTGTTTGCTTTTGCCCTATTTTTACTTTGGTTTCTGATTTTTACAGCTCTTTCTATTTTTCTCTTTTATCTGGTTTCACGTTGATGAGGATGCTGGTGACAACAACAAATTATAGTTCTGATGAGCCATGTTGCCTCTGTCGAGGTGCGTTTTCAGTATAGGATTCCTTTAGCTTATTGTGCAAATGGTTCTCTCCCTTTCCCATTAACTTCGTCATTCAGAATGCTTTTTACCCAGTTTCTCTCTTCCCATTGCTTCTTACAGTTGTAAATTTGTTACGCCGTGAATAATATCACCAAGCACCAAGGGACCAGCGATAAACATGTTTTATTCTTTCCACACGAAAACATTGCACATGTATGGCATTTATTTAACACCTAAAATGCGACATTTTATACAGAACCGTGAACGTTGTATACATATGTGCATGCTCTTGACATGTGGTTAGCCACGAGACCATGTTCGTATTGTGCATGCATTGTAATAAATAGAACCATGACATTTTTGTTTGAAACAAAAACATTGAATGCGTTGTTTTACAAAATATCACATTGTTTGACGACCTCCCTCGTAAGCATTCCTCTACTTCAACGCTCACGGTATCGTAATTACTCTTCTTTCGGTCACAGTACCAAAAACGCAGGACAAAATTGATTTTTAGAAGAATACATTCCATTCAACATGTAATATGAAACAAATTAGAGTCACACTGTCGCTTTAACAGTTTTGGAACTCCAATTTAAATAAAGCCAAACAACAAACAATAACAACAACAGACATTCAATGTTGAGGTTTTCCTCCGTCACCGTTTATTAGGGTCTGCTTGGACCCCATTGTTATTTCGCCGGGTATTCACGCACTATATTCACTATACTGTATTCACGCACTCAGAGCAAATTATGCGGACTTTGTTCTTCTGACTCTCTTATTGTTTGTTAAAAATGCTTAAACAATCTACTTTCGTTGGCTGAAAACTAGAGTGGAACGTGAGGATAACATAAAACCCGCTATATTGCAGATTTTACAGAAAAACGAAGTGCGCTCAACGATCGGTAAGACGGCATAAAGTTGCACTTACCGATGGCTTTACCGATGGTTTTGTCTAGCTAACGCTGGACTCATTCGAGTCGTTGTCAACTAGAGGGTCAGGAGTGTCTACATCCAGGAAAAAGAAATGAAAAAACAACGTTCAAAACCTGCGCCCAACCTGCTTCTGCTATCTGATTCAAAGAAAGAAGCGGACATGGTTTATCCATGTTTGGTATTGCAAAGGCATTTCTATCAATTGGAATAACGCGTGCATAAGGACTTAGGTAAAGAAACGAACAGCGATGGTGTAAATCGCTGGAAACGCATCCCATGGGCTTCCGGATTTGCCCGTCCTTCTCCTTCCTGAAATTCTGTGAATTATGGATAGAGATGGCAAGATCAGCTTACCGAAGTTGTTTTCTGGCACCGGATCATACTGCCGAGGGAGGCCTTTTCCCAACTCACACGCTGGACACAGACACAGACAAATATGGATCAAAGGAGGCCAAAGGTTTAATAGCAACAATCAAGTATACAAGCATTTAGAAATTGCTTTACAACATTAAACCGTTATGTTAGGTTAGGTACATTGGCAAGATTGAGTCTTCAAGCAACCACGTTCATAATCCTCAACATTGGTTAAATGAATGATGCCTTCTAGCCTTAATTGCTCACCATGTAGGTGAATGAATGGGCACGAGGACTGTGGACGATTGCATTGCCCTAACCAATGATTAATACATATTCTGGACTCCCACTGATCCGCACAATCTACAAAACGCTTTTCTAAAGGAGGAGACGGAGGAAGATGCGCGATCGGAAACACTTGACTGGGAACTTGACTGGGGACTTGACTGGACTCTTTGGACGGCTCCATTTTTGAACAAAGAACAATATAAAAACTCATCAGCGCAGCACAGATACAATGAGGCCGAACCTGATGGCAATGAAAATTTCCAAAGCCAGATTTAATTCCCGTAGCTATGCAGAAGACGTTACATGTACTTCAGTAACGTCTGGCGCTAGCCAGGGTCCACACAGCTTTAATTCCCGTAGCTATGCTGAAGACGTTACTTCAGTAACGTCTGGCGCTAGCCAGGGTCCACACAGCTTTAATTCCCGTAGCTATGCAGAAGACGTTACTTCAGTAACGTCTGGCGCTAGCCAGGGTCCACACAGCTTTAATTCCCGTAGCTATGCAGAAGACGTTACTTCAGTAACGTCTGGCGCTAGCCAGGGTCCACACAGCTTTAATTTGGTGTTTGTTTGTGTGTTTGTTTGTTTGTGTCACGCCTGGCGCTATCCCGTATATGTCCCGTACTGTACCGAACCAGCAAAGCCACACTATTTTTGTTTGTTTGTGCCATCGACATGCCTGGCGCTATCCCGTGGACCCGTGCCTGTCCCGTACCATCAAGAGTACGGTACCATCAAGAGAATGAGTATATATGCGAAGTGTATCGGGGGAATGTATTCAGTGCAGTAACATTTTGTGTGGATTTGTGTGCGAGGCCGAGATCCCACTAGCAGGCTGGCTGGGCCGCCTGTCGAACCGCCCGGAAATCGCATGTAGGCCAATAGCATAATAAATATAACGTATATACAGTCATGTAGATGTAAAAAGCATTTCCATCAGTTCTAACAACATGCACGATGAGCTAGGCAACACAGCATAGCGCAGGGCCCTGAGCTTCCAAGCTCTCTCGTTTGGTGTTTGTTTGTTTGTTTGTTTGTTTGTTTGTTTGTGTCACGCCTGGCGCTATCCTGTATCTGTCCCGTACCGTACCGTACCAACAAAGACAGCTGGCCACAATATTTTTGTTTGTTTGTGCCATCGGCATGCCTGGCGCTATCCCGTACCTGTCCTGTACCATCAAGTGTACGGTACCATCAAGAGAATGAGTATATATGCGAAGTGTATCGGGGAATGCATTCAGTGCAGTAACATTTTGAGTGGATTTGTGTGCGAGGCCGAGATCCCACTAGCAGGTTGGCTGGGCCGCCTGTCGAACAGCCCTGGAATCGCATGTAGGCCGATAGCATAATAATTATAACGTGTATACAGTCATGTAGATGTATAGCAGGGAGTCATATTATGTAAACGACTCCCTGCTGTATGGGGAGATTTTCTGGAAAGAAATACGAAGTAGGGAGACGAGTAAATGCAATTAGAATGGATGTTAGTTGCCGTCAGTATAATAAGAAGAAGAAGACGAACGACCGTGATCGGCAGAGTCAGCGCCGGTCCCAGGAAACGGCAGGACAGACATCCCGTCGACTCCAGAACGCCCGTGATCGGCAGAGTCAGCGCCGGTCCCATGGCTATGCAGAAGACGTTACTTCAGTAACTCATTGAAACGTTTTTGCAATACAATGATGTAGCTAATCAAAGGAAAAAAACTTTTCCATCAGTTCTAACAACATGCACGATGAGCTAGGCAACAAAGCATAGCGCAGGGCCCTGAGCTTCCAAGCTCTCTCGTTTGTTATTTGTTTGTTTGTGTGTTTGTTTGTTTGTTTGTGTCACGCCTGGAGCTATCCCGTATCTGTCCCGTATCTGTCCCGTATCTGTGACTACAAAGGCTCTACAGGATTGTACATACCAGCTGGCCACAATATTTGCTGGCTCTCGTATCTGTCCCGTACCGTACCATCAAACACAGCTAGCTGGCCACAAACAGCTGGCCACAATATTCGTCGTATTATGTATACGATTCCCTGTTGTAGAGGGAGATTTGGAAAGCAATAGGGAGCGAGAGATCCGGTAGTCTCCAAAATAAGCGTGAACGGGCGATTCAGCGCTGGTCACAGGAAACGTCGGAAGAGAGATCCCGTCGACTCCAGAACGCCCGTGATCGGCAGAGTCAGCGCCGGTCGCAGGAAACGTCAGGACAGACATCCCGTCGACTCCAAAATAGTTATTTTTCTCTAATTTCGTCCGCTTTTGGTTTGCTCCTTTTCTTTTTCAAAACTCCAACCGGCCAAAGTTTAATGACAGTGAAAATTTCGTTTCGAGATCGGCCAAAGTTTCTCATCAGCCAAAATTTGTTGATTTACAGCATAAGGAGATAAAATGAAAAGAAGTGGATGAATTTAGAGAAAAATAACAATCCGCAGTAAATTCTGCAAATACTTTTGCCTGACTCATATTCAAACTGATTGAAACGTTTTTGAAATACAATGATGTGGCCAATCAACGGAAAAAAAACATTTCCGTCAGTTCTAACATGTACGATGAGCTAGGCAAAGAAACTCTTCATGATAAGAGCATAGCGTAGGGCCCTGAGCTTCCAAGCTCTCTCGTTTGGTATTTGTTTGTTTGTGTGTTTGTTTGTTTGTGTCACGCCTGGCGCTATCCGTATCTAAAGGCAAAAAAGCATAGGATGTTATAAATTTTTCAATTCTCCTTTTTTTAGGCATATCCTGGGATTCGAACCCGCACTATCGCCCTACATGCATTCCCCCATACACTTCGCATTCATACCCATTCTTCCAAGTTGCTTTACGTTATTACCTTGAGTTTGAAAGCCCTATTTGAATATTGCGGGCAGCTGTATGTGGCCAGCTGTGTTTGATGGTACGGTACGGGAGATGGTGTCGTATTACCCTCGATCGTACCTGTCCCGTACCTATCCCCTACCGTACCGTGCCATCAAAGACGGCTGGCCACAATGCATATTCAGATAGGGCTTTCAAATGCAAGATCACAATGTGAAACAACTTGGAAGAATTAGTACGTATGCGAAGTGTATCGGGGGATGCATGCAGGGCGCGCGATAGTGCGGGTTCGAATCCCAGGTTATGTCTTAAAAAAAGGAATTTTTAAAGAATTTATAACATCCCTATGCTTTTTTTTTGTCTAGGTCATCAAGGCAAAAAAGCATAGCGTAGGGCCCTGAGCTTTCAAGCTCTCTCGTTAAATCAGTCCCGAACGTACCATTAATAATATAATTAAATTAATACAAAATAGAATGGTCCAAGGAACTACTGTTCACTAACACCACCAGTTACTTTTAAAACAATCTGCTCATGCGATAACAATGAACGACACTGGCCCACGGCACTGATGCTCTACAAGAAACTGGCTAACAGCTCTAGTAAATCTAGGATGCGCACTCTAACAGCCTCCCAACTTCCATAGAAATAACATAAGGAGGGGAGGTTTATTGGTCCTTTCTCTTTGGTATAAAAAGAGATAATGGAGACAATGGCTCACCATCCCAGTTCATAATTAAATATTTTACACAAGGGAATGGTCTCAAACTGCGGCGAGTGCTCAATGCAAGCGAGGCAGAGCTTTATCACACAAAAGCGGAAGAACCGTCAGAGATCAAATTCCATTACACAGTGTTTCACCGTTCAAGCAACGGATCATCAGATGGATTAAATTTATTTTTAAAATATATTATAGGGAATTGTGCTGGGAAGCTCTAATAGAGCGAAACAGTTGCTGTCCACAGATTTGAGTAGTAAGGGGACATGTGTGTTGGTCCCTACATGGAAGCTCATGCTATTCCAGCCGATTTGAATATTCACTTTACCGACTCATGACTGCCATCCAGAGCACACAAGAAGTCCATCGAACTGCCTACACCGCAAACCTGCAAGAAAGCACCACACCCTGGTCAAACCACAGTGTTTCGGGGAATTTACCCCTCATCAGTTGAGCTTGTGGGCTGAGTAAGATTGTGCCTCAAGAGCACCACTGAAAGTGCTCTCCATGCACAAACATCACCAGGGATACAAATTTATAGAGACGTTTCGTTTTCAGCGTGACAAACACCTCGTAAACACCATATGGCAGCGTCAGCCGGTGTCGCTCTTGGAGGTGTAGAACAAGCGCTGAGGGCCGTTGGCCATTCACAACTAATTCTCAAGCTCGCGCTTCGATCAAGGTGAAAAAGAGGTTGTTGCGACTTCAACCCTTGGATATTCCTTCATTCCTTAAATCGGGGTGCATCACTGAAATCAGTGAAATGAGTACCAGCTCAATCAATGCAGGCACTTCATAGCAAACAGAAGCATTAGCATTCATGGCATCAGAAAAAGTATTACAATGATGATAATCATGACTAGTGACAACAACAAATCATAATTCTGATGCGTCATGTAGCCTTTTTCGGATATCTTTTGACTCCTCTGTAGAATGTAGAATGAGGGTTACTATGTTTCTTTGCCATTTCCCATTGCTTCAAACGTTGTGACGTGTTAACTATTTGCTACGTTCAATGTATAGAATTCGATACCGGCACAGCTGAGCCGGTATAATATCATCAATCACCATGAGATCAGCGGGAAACTTATTTTATTAGTTCCAGACGAAAACATTGTACATGTATGCAATGTGGTGAACAAAAACCTACAAATATACGTGCAATACTCTAGCAATGTATCAACTAAAACGCCAAAATTGTATCCAAAAACCTGAACACTGTGTGCAAGAACATGAACATTGTATGCACTGTAAACAATAAAAACATGAACGTGGTGTACGTTTATGCATTTCTGTGACTTGTGGTTTTTACAACGAGACTATGTTTGTATTGCATATACATTGTGATAGACAAAAACATGTTATATTGTTTGAAACGAAAACAATGCATGCGTTGACAAACACATCACACTGTGGAGACCTCCCCCGCCAGCATTCCGCTACTTCAACGCTCACGATATCGTAAATACTCTTACTTCTGCAACAGCAACAAAACACAAAGAGAAGACGATTGATTTATAGAAAGTTACATTCCATCCAACATGTTGTATGAATAAAATTGGAGTAACATTGTCGCTTTAACCCTCATTCCATGTTCCATGACTTTTTTTCCAACTTTCATGTATAATGGGATCCGTTACGACCCCAGTGGTATTTCGCTGAGCATTCACTCACTCAAACAAATTAGTATGGAAATGCTTGAAAACTACTTTCTTTGGCTGAAAACTAGGTATGAGATGTGAAAAAGACATGAAGCCTGCCATATCGCAGATGATATAGAAATACATGCACGAATTGCGCTCAACGACCAGTGAAGCATCATAACGTTACACTTACCGATTGCTTCGTTTGGCTAACGCTAGACCCATCCGAGTCGCTGTCGGTGTCAGCTGGAGGGTCTGGAGTGTCTAGTTCAAGAAAAAATGAAATGAACGAATTTCAATGCTTGTGCTCCGTTGTTTTCCTTGCTTCAATTTAATATTAATTTCAAGCTCCTTCCATTGAGAATGAGGATCTCAGCGCAATGTATCGAACGCTTTCCAACGCATCTATTTCTACTTCTGGTCTCTGAATCGAAGAAGGAAGCGGATATGGTGTCTCCATAATTATATTGGATGACAAAGACGTTTCTATCAATTAGAATAACGCGCACAAGGACTTGTTAAAGAAGAGCACGAAGTTCGCTCAAATCGCTCGAACCACATTTCATGGGTTCTTGATTAGCACTTCCAAAAAAAAGAAAACCAAACAAAACAGAAAACACGCATCGCAGATGTTCGTCATTCGAAAGAACAATGTTTCTCGTTTATTCCAAATTCAGCCAACGAGAAGCGTACGTCTTCTCCCTATAAATCTGTGATTGTAAATGGCAATATCATCTTACCGAAGTTATTCTCGGGCACCGGATCATACTGAGGAGGGAGGCCCTTTCCCAGCTCACAAACTGGACACAGAAACACAGACAAATACGGATCAAAGCACGCTAGGTGTTTAATTGCAACAATCAAGTGCCCAATTGATTTAGAAATTGCCTTACAACATTGCACCGTTACTTTTGGTTATGTACATGTACGTGTGCATTGGCGAGATAGGATGGGATATTAAAGCAATCGCCTTCATAATCCTCAACATTGGTTAATTGAATGATATCTTTTGGCCTTGATTGCTTACCATACAAGTGTATAAAGGGGCACGAAGGCTGGAAACGATAACATCTTCCCAGCCAATGGTCGGTACAGATCTTGGATTGCCACTTATCCGCACAGTCGACATAGCGCTTGACTAATGGCAACGACGGCGGTAGACATGGATACTGTACGACTTGCCTGGGCGGAGGCGGATACTGGCCCACTTGCCTGGGCAGATACGGATACTGCACCACTTGCCTGGGCAGAGACGGATACTGGCCCACTTGCCTGGGCTGAGACGGATACTGACCCACTTGCCTGGGCTGAAATGGATACTGACCCACTGGCCTGGGCAGAGTCGGATAGTGGACCCCTTGCCTGGGCAGAGACGAATACTGGACCACTTGTCTGGGAACTTGACGTGGAACTTGACTTGGCACTTTAGATGGCTCCATTTTGAACAAAGTACAATACCAAAACTTAGCCAACCAGAGGTGAAAAACACGAGCGCAATGATAGCATTAGACAGTCGCTTTTTATAGGGACATAGCGCCCGACCTTCGAGTATCACACATCGAATTGTATCATAATTCTAAACATATAGAATAAGTTATACTCAAATCTGTGGACAGCAACTGCAACTGTTTCGCTGTTCAACTCCTCTTAGTATAAGTTATTCAAACAAGTCAAGTCCTCTACACAGATTGCGTACTTTAGCGATAAAGAAGAAAGCGCAAATACAATTTACAGCAGGCTTTCAAAAATATGCATGATTGTATACTATACAAAACACATTGCAAGCTGCATATTATTTGCTTTCCAATAGGTCCATTGTGAGTTGCATAAAACTATGATTGAAAACAATGTGAGTAAAAAAACAAGGCTCCATTGTGAGTTTCGATTACCAGCATGCCTTTAAAAAATCCAACTGATAATTACAAAGAAGACTACTTGTACTGTACGAATGTATGTACTTGAAGTATATAACTCATAATCACAGGGAGATCGTAGAGGCATTGATTAGCGAGATAATTGTGAATTTTGTCTCTGAATCCAAGTCCATCGTGTGCTGCATGAGAGAGCATGCAAGGGAAAACCCGTCCAACTTTCAATGATAGAAATCCATAAGAAGTTCCTATCTATCGAAAACTAGTCCCCATTCCATTGCTACATAGATTCACTGATGAATGTAGCAAGAAAACAGTTCTGAACAAATCCTCTCTTTCCGTTTCGTTGTGTGCCTTGCGATCATGGTATAGCATTTTACACGTACATGTCGACACAGGAAACGCTTTTGTTGTTGTATACTTTTTTTATAGTGGAAATCAAAAAAAGGCAAAATGCCTGTGTGTACGTGGTCTTCATCCGTGGTTGGTCTCATTCTCTCCTCAATTCAATTTGCTGCCTTGACATGCCACGAGGTGTAGAAATAAAATGATAAAATAAAACCTATGTCGCTGCCAATATAATTATACTGGAAGGCTTGAGATTTGAAATCCAAATACCTATTTGAACTTTTTTTCTGCTGGGGGCAATCTATTCCACATAATTGCTCCAGCATGCGTTAGGTTCTTAGCATAACGAGCAATGCTAGCGGTTGGGACCACAACAGCCATTTATACTGCTCTCCAGAACTGTGCTCTAAGGTGATTTGTCCGAGACAGTTTCCGTGGTGCTTTTGTCTCCCTTAATTCCCCCTACCCTCCTTCTCTATATAGGCAGTCAACCGTTGGATTATTCCTTCATTCCTTAACAGCAGGGCGCAACACGGAAAGTAGTGTAATCAGTACCAGCCCAATAAATGCCGGCACCTCAAAGCCAACAGAAGCATTAGCAATCATGTCATCAGAAAAGTATTACGATGATGCGAATCATGGCTAGTGACAACAACAAATTATAGTTCTGATGCGTCATGTAGCCTTTGTTGAATATCCTTTGACTCCTATTGAGGTGTTCTGTGGAATGAGGGTTCCCGAAACTTATTTTGTTGACAATGGTCTTTCCCATTGACTTGGTTATTCCCATTGCTTCTTACCGGTGTGAGGAATTAACTATTTGCTACGTTCAATGTATACAACTCGAAACCGGCGCCGCTGCGCACGTCTAAAATCATCAATCACAATGAGATCAGCTAGAAACTTATTTTTTATTCTTTTCCGGACAAAACAATGTCAATGTATGCTATGTTGTCAAACAAAATACATATATACATGCAATACTGTATCAATGTATCAACAAAAAACGCGAACATTGTATGCAAAAACCTGATCATTGTACTCAAAAACCAGAACATTGTATGCATTGTAAGCCACAAAAACATGAACATGGTGTACATATGTGCATTTCCGTGACATGTGCTTTTGATAACGAGACTATGTTAGTTTTGTATATGCATTGTGATAGACAAAAAGCTGATATTTTGTTTGAAACGAAAACAATGTATGCGTTGACAAACACATCACACTGTGGAGACCTCCCTCGCCAGCATTCCGCTACATCGACGCTCACGATATCGTAAATACTCTAACTTCTGCAACAGCACCAAAAACACCAAAAACACAGAGAGAAGAATATTTATTTGTAGAAGGCTACAATTCATCCAACATACTACATGTATATAAATCAAATTGCAGTAACGTCACTTTAACCCTCATTCAATGCTGGTTTTTTCCAGCTTTCCCGTATAATGGGGTCCGTTACGACCCCAGTGGTTTTTCGCTGAGCATTCACTCACTTAGACCATTATTTAAATATGGCAACGCTTAAAACAAACCACTTTCGTTAGCTGAAAACTAGGGTGGGATGTAAAAAGCCAGATGATATATCGCAGATGATACAGAAACACGAATTGCGCTCTACGATCGGCGAAACCCCATAACGTTACACTTACCGATGGCTTCGTTTGGCTAACGCTAGACCCATCCGAGTCGCTGTCCGTGTCAACTGGAGGGTCTGGAGTGTCTAGATGTATACAAAAATATTAGAAACGAATATCAACTTGTGCTCCTCCGTTTTCCTTGTTTCAACTTAATGTTAATTTCTAGTTCCTTCCGTTGAAAATGAGGATCTCAGCGCAATGTACCGCACTCAGTCCCAAAGCATATATTTCTTCTTCTGGTGTCTGATTCAAAGAAAGAAGCGGATATGGTGTCTACGAATTTTTGCATCCCTAAGACGTTTCTATCAATCAGAATAACGCGCACGAGGACTTAGGTAAAGAAACGCAAGGAATCGGCTCAAAAAGCTCGAACCACATCTCATGGGTTCCGGATTAGCCGTTCCGTCATCTTCCTATAATTCTCTGAATGGAGAAGGTAATATCATCTTACCGAAGTTGTTGTCGGGCACCGGATCATACTGTGGAGGGAGGCCTTTTTCCCATATCACACACTGGACGCAGAAACAAAGAAACACAGACAAATACGGATCAAAGCACGCTAGGGGTTTAAAAGCACCAGTCAAGTGTACAATCGATTTCGATATTGCCTTACAACATACACCGTTACTTTTATTCAAGCAATCGTCTACATATCCCTCAACATTGGTTAATAGAATGATGTCTTCTGGCCTTGAGTTCTTACCATACGGATGTATCAAGGGGCACGACGACTGGAAACGATAGCATCTGCCCAGCCAATGGTCTGCAAAGATCTTGGATTGCCACTTATCCCCACAGTCCACATAAGGCTTGATTAATGGCCATGACGGAGGCAGAGACGGATACTGGACCATCTGTCTCTGCACAGAAGAATACTGGGCCCCCTGTCTGGGCTGAGGAGAATACTGAGCCCCCTGTCTGGGCTGAGACGAATACTGGGCCCCCTGTCTCCGCAGAAATGGGTACTGGACCACGTGTCTGGGCAAAAACGGATACTGGACCATGTGTCTGGGGAAAGACGGATACAGGAACACGTGTCTGGACAGAGACGGATACTGGACCACTTGACTTGAAAAGTGACTTGGCACTTTAGATGGCTCCATTTTGAACAAAGTACAATAACAAAGCTGAGCCAACTAGAGGTGAAAAACACGAGCGCAATGATAGCATTAGACAGACCCCTTTTATAGCGACATAGAGCCCAACCTTCGAGTATCACACATCAAATTGTATTATAATTTCAAAAATATAGTATAAGTTGTACCAACTTTAAGTCCTCTACACAGATTGTGTACTATAGCAATAAAGAAGAAAGCCGTAAATTTAATTTACAGCAGGCTTTAACATATTCTATACGATACACATTGCAACCTGCATGTTATTTGCTTTCCCAAACGTTCCCTTGTGAGTTCCATGCACCGAAGAATAGATAAAATACCTACATCTACTCTTGCTACAACTATAAATGAAGAAAATAATCTGATAATGTGAGTAAAAAACAAGGTTCTTCTGTGAGTTTTGATCACCAGAATGCCTTTTAAAATACGATACAAGTTAACTGATAATTACGTAGAGGACTGATTGTACTGTATGTATGTATGTATGTATGTATGTATGTATGTATGTATGTATGTATAACTCATAGTCACAAGGAGATCGTACAGGCATTAATCAGCGAGAGAATTGGTAATCCAACTCTATCGTGTGCTGCATGAGAGAGAGAGAGTGCAGGCAAGGCCAGACCCGTTTAACTTTTTATGATAGAAATCCATTAGCAAATCCTTTATGGTGACAAGTAGTCGCCATTACATTGCTACATAGATTCACTGATGAATGCAGCAAGAAAACAGTTATGAACAAATTCTCTCTTTCCCTTTCGTTGTCTGCCTTGCGATCATCGTATAGCATTTTACACGTACATGTCGACACAGGAAACGCTTTTGTCGTTGTATATTTTATTTATAGTGGAAATCAAAACAGGCAAAATGCCTAATAACATTCGACCCACTGTGAATAGTAATGTAAGAGGATATTGTGGAGAAGTAGATGTAAGAGAAAAAGAGAAGGAAAAGAAAACGGAAGGTTGGTTGCAACGAACAGATATCAATCCAGTGAGCATGGGGAGGGGGGGGGGCACTTTGTGTACGTGCTCTTCATTTTCTTTTCCTCTTCTTCCGTGGTTGGTCTCTCCTCAATTCAATTGACTGTCTTGACATGCCACGAGGTGCAGAAATAAATAAATACAATAAAACCTATGTCGCGTGACAATATATACTGGAAGGCTTGAGATTTGAAATCCAAATACTTATTTGAATTTTTTTTTTGCTGGGGGCAATCTACTCCACATAATTGCTCTAGAGTGCGTTAGGTGCTTAGCATAACGAGCAGTGCTAGCAGTTGGGACCACAACAGCCGTTTGTATTGCTCTCCAGAACTGTGCTCTATGGTGATTTGTCCGAGACAGTTTCCATGGTGTTTTTGTCTCCCTTGATTCCCCCTACCCTCCTTTATTGCTATAGTACACAATCTGTGTAGAGGACTTAAAGTTGGTACAACTTATACTATATTTTTTTTATTATAATACAATTTGATCTGTGATACTCGAAGGTTGCGCTCTTCTGCGTTATAAAAAGGGTCTGTCTACTGCTATCATTGCGCTCGTGTTTTTCACCTCTGGTTGGCTAAGTTTTGGTATTGTACTTTGTTCAAAATGGAGCCAGCTAAAGTGCCAAGTCAAGTTTCAAGTCACGTGGCCCAGTATCCGTCTCTGACAAGACACGTGTTCCTGTATCCGTATTTTCCCAGACACATGGTCCAGTATCCATTTTTGCCCGGTCACGTGGTCCAGTATCCGTTCCTGGCCAAACAGGGGGTCCAGTATCCGTCTCGGCCCACACCCAATGTTGTACAGTATTCATCTCTGCCCAGACAGGGGGCCCCGTATTCTTCTGTGCCGAGACAGGTGGTCAAGTATCCATCTCTGCCTCCGTCTTGGCCACTAATCAGGCGTTATGTGGGCTGTGCGGATAAGTGGCAATCCAAGATCTGTGTAGACCATTGCCTGGGAAAATGCTGTCGTTTCCAGTCATCGTGCCCCTTGATACACCCATATGGTAAGCACCCAAGGCCAGAAGACATCATTCAATTAACCAATGTTGAGGGATATGAAGGCGATTGGTTGAATAAAAGTAACGGTGTATGTTGTAAGGCAATTTCGAAATCGAGTGTACACTTGACTGTTGCTTTTAAACCCCTAGCGTGTATTGATCCGTATTTGTCTGTGTTTCTTTGTTTCTGTGCTCAGTGTGTGGGTTGGGAAAAAGGCCTCCCTCCACAGTATGATCCGGTGCCCGTGAACAACTTCGGTAAGATAATATTGCCCTCTCTATTCAGAAAAGTATAGGAAGATGACGGAAGGGCTAATCCGGAACCCATGAGATGTAGTTCGAGACTTTTGAGCGATTTCCTTGCGTTTCTTTACCTAAGTCCTCGTGCACGTTATTCTTTAAATCAGACGCCAGAAGTAGGAATAGATGTTTGGGAATGAGTGCGGTACATTGCGCTGAGATCCTCATTTTCATCGGAAGGAACTTGAAATTAATATTAAAGTTGAAACAAGGAAAACGGCGGAGCACAAGTTGATATTCGTTTCTCTCATTTTTTTTATACATCTAGACACTCCAGACCCTCCTGTTGACACGGACAGCGACTCGGAGGGGTCTAGCGTTAGCCAAACGAAGCCATCGGTAAGTGGAATGAGATTTAAAGTGACAGTGTTACTCCAATTTGATTCATAACATTATAGTATGTTGGATGAAATGTAGCCTTCTATTAATGAATATTCTTCTCTCTGTGTTTTTGGTGTTTTTGGTGCTGTTGCAGAAGTAAGAGTATTTACGATATCGTGAGCGTCGATGTAGCGGAATGCTGGCGAGGGAGGTTTCCACAGTGTGATGTGTTTGTCAACGCATGCATTGTTTTCGTTTCGAACAAAATATTCAAACTTGTCTGTCACAATGCATACAAAACGAACAAAGTCTCGTTGCAAAAAGCACGTATCACGGAAATGCACATATGTACACCATATTCATGTTTTAGAGGTTTACAATGCATACAATGTTCACGTTTTTGCATACAATGTTCACGTTTTGCGTACAATGTTCACGTTTTTACATGCAATGTTCACGTTTTAGTTGATACATTGCTAGAGTATAGCTAGAGTATTGCATGTATATATGTAGGTTTTTGTTTGACATTTACAATGTTGTCGTCTGGAAAGAATAAAAAATAAGTTTATAGCTGATCTCATGGTGATTGATTATATTATACGTGCGCAGCTGCGCCCGTTTCGAGTTGTATACATTGAAGGTAGCAAATAGTAACTGTTAATTCGTCACACCGGTAAGAAGCGATGGGAATGACCAAGTTAATGGGAAAGACCATCTGTCTTCAAAATAAGCTTCGGGAACCCTCATTCCACAGAACACCTCAATAGGAGTCAAAGGATATTCGACAACGGCTACATGACGCACCAGAACTATAATTTGTTTTTTTCACTGTGACGAATTAACAGTTACTATTTGCAACCTTCAATGTATACAACTCGAAACGGGCGCAGCTGCGCACGTATAATATCATCAATCACCAAGAGATCAGCTAGAAACTGATTTTTTATTCTTTCCAGACGAAAACATTCATTTGGCGCTGCCTGAACAAATCTTCAAGTACTCTGTTTGCAAGCTTTTTCACCCGTAGTCCCTCTCTCCGAACACGAGGAGGGAACAGCAAGTTACTCATCATTCCTGTCTCCCCCACTGCATCCTCAGCTAAGCGCATTAGCCATGCTGGAGCTATCCTGTGGAACCAGCTCCCAGACACAGCACGCCTCGAAAGAAAGCGCTCCACTTTCAAATCGCTAAGCCTGGCCTTTCTGTTAGGCAGTACCGTCAACTAGGATGAACTCATCTGCTTCACTACCTCTCTCTCTCTCTCTCTCTCTCTCTCTCTCTCTCTCTCTCTCTCTCTCTCTCACTCACTCACTCACTCCTTTCTTCCCGGTTGCCGTGCTTGTGACTTTTTTTCCCCTGCTGCCGTGCTCATATTAGTTATCTAACTACAGCTGTATCTTCTTCTTGGTTCTGTTTGTCCGCTTATGATTATATTTTCTTTTCTCTTATTATCAGTGGGACCATTGTCATTAGGTTTAGGCCTGTTTTGGAACTCCACTTTAAATAAAGCCAAACAACAACAACAACAACAACAAAACATTGTAAATGTATGCAATGTTGTCAAACAAAAACACATGCAATTTGTTATTTGCTTTCCAAACGTTCCCTTGTGAGTTCGATACAACCAAGAGTAGAAAAATACCTACATCTACTCTTGATACAACTATAAAATAATGAAAAAGAAATATGATAATGTGAATAAAAAACAAGGTTCCTTTGTGAGTTTCGATCACCAACATGCCTTTAATAACATACAAGTTAACTGATAGTTCCAAAGAGGACTAATTGTACTGTTCGTATGTATGTATGTCCACAACTCCCTCCGAGTATGTATGTATAAATGCATGTAAAGTCGGAGGGAGTTGTGGATGTATGTATGTATGTATGTATGTATGTATGTATGTATGTATGTATGTATGTATAACTCATAGTCACAAGGAGATCCTAGAGGCATTAATCCGCGAGAGAATTGGTAATCCAACTCTATCGTGTGCTGCATGAGAGAGAGAGAGAGTGCATGCAAGGGAGGACCCGTCTAACTTTTAATGATAGAAATCGATAGGCAAATCCTTTATGTCGACAAGTAGTCCCCATTTCATTGCCACGTAGATTCACTGATGAATGCAGCAAGAAAACAGATATGAACAAATACTCTCTTTCCCTTTCGTTGTGTGCCTTGCGATCATCGTATAGCACTTAACACATGCATGTCGACTTCTTCGGAGGTGGCTTGGTGATGGAACTGAACATTCCCACTCAGCTTTCAAGGCTGCCAGGCGGGAAGCTACTGCAGAGATAGTAGAGGACGCCAGCCACCCAGTGCATCTCTCATTTCCCTACCAGCCCGCCTCAAGCACTGTACTGACAGCCTTTGCGCAAGTGTCTATTGCCAGAGTGAGGAAGCTCCTCGAACGTTTAAATCCGGCCAAGTCCAGCGGTGATGATGACATTTCTGCATCCTTTCTCCGCGCACATCCATACGTACTGGCGCCATCCCTGACTTTGATCTTTAAAAAGTCGTTGAGAGAGGGCATATTTCCTGCCCAGATGAAAAGTGCTAGGATATCGCCACTTTTCAAAGGCGGAGATCCGGGCATGCCAAAGAATCATCGACCAGTGTCCTTGTTATCGATTGAATCCAAAGTGTTGGCAAGGATAATCCACGAGCAACTACACGATATCTAGTCCAGAGCAATTTATTTCCGCCAACTCAATTAGGCTACAGATCCCACCACTCTACATCCGACGCACTAGTGCTAGCTGTGGAAGGTATCTGTGAGGTCCGTATGAACAAACTCAACACATGTGTAGCCTTTGTTGATATGTCAAAGGCATTCGATAAAGTGAAACATCAAACTCTTGTGCAAGATCTGCTCGAACTAACTTGGCATCTGCGACACGGCACTCTGTTGGCTGGTGGATTACCTTTCTGATAGAGAACAGTACGTTCAGGTTGGCCAGACTAGAAGTCTCCCGTATACCAGTTGCTCAGGTGTCCCCCAGGGGTCGGTACTGGGCCCACTGCTATATATTGTCTATGACCATGGCATAGCAGAAGAACTATCGCCGTTTAATGTGGGAGCAATCCAGTTTGCTGATGACATCTCTATACGATGTAGCAGGGAGTCTGCGGATGCTGTTTCTGCACACCTTTCAGCTGCTGTTCAGCACCTAGCCACATGGCTGAAGGGCCGAGGTTTAATTCTTAATGAAAGAAAGACACAGATATTGCCTATCCCCCCATCCCCATCTCAAGCACTTGAGCTGCATGTCATTTGTAAGGGGCAGACGCTGCCTGTTGTGAAAACGGCCAAGTATCTTGGCCTACATTTCGACTCAGACATGAGCTGGAACACCATGACAAGTCATGTTGCACGCTGCGTTGCCGCTAAGATTGGGCTACTAAATCGAAGTGCAACATGTTTGCCTATTTCTTGCCGTGTTCAGTTTTTCAGGTCCTTTATGCTATCAGAATTTGACTATGCATCTGCTGCCTATGCCCCATTCTTAACGTCTTATCAGGATAAGTGCCTATAATAGTTTGTTCAAACGTGTCACTCGCTCGGTGTGCAGCACAAACCCTCGCACTCACACGGCTCCCTTATTTGAACGCATGAATGCCCATATCCTCAGCATATACACCCACATGCACACAATTTATGCAATTAACGAAATGTAAGTCAATTGACAACATAACAAAATGAACTCATATATTTTCAGTCTGCGAAACATGTGGGCACCGCTCCTGAGGCCTCCATCTTCGAGCGCTCATCGCATCGATTGCCGTCGCCCCATGTAATATTCTTCCTGCAACATAAAAAGAAAGACCAGGTCTGTCATATAAGGAAGGTGGCATGGAAATAAAGTGTGACTTAAATATAACTAAGAAAGATCTCGAGTGGCAATTATCTGTTATAGTCGTCACTATAAAAAAAACCAATCCAATCCAATCCAACCTAATGTCAAGAGCATGGATGAGGAATATTCAATCGAGGAACGGGACAGCGAGTTTCTCCACTTTCAGGAACTAACTTCTATACTATATAATAACTTACTTCGTTTCTAGGATGCCTCCGTTCAAGTTTGCCCTTTTTGTTTCGGAAAAGGAACTTCTCCCCCGAAACTGTAAGTTGCAGATGAACAAGAAGGAAACAAATACGTTTGTTAGAAAACGACAATACATGGAGTTATGTGGTTGCTATCCTGCATGATGATGCCTGCGAGAAACAAGGGTTGTCAGAAAACCCACCCAAAATAGTGGGAAGACACAGAATAAATTTTGGTAATGCGACCATACTTTGAATTCAGCGACACCAGCAAGATATCTTTCTTCGTGTAACCTCACTCTGAAGAACGTTATTCGGAACTTGTTTTTAGAAACAACAGTTTTTCAGCAGTAGCAGTTGTCTTGGTCGTGTTTAACATTTCCGTGTCGTGCCAGAAATGAGCTAAATCTACTTACAGGATGTACGTGGCGTCCGCTCCTCGACGGGTGTGCTTGGCTCTTAACGTTCAAATTGAGGAAACAAAAACACAAAACACAAACCTAACAATGCAGCTACACAGCCTTGAAGGTGGCTGACACCTAGCTGAGAGCTACAACGCCTTGAAGGTGGCTCACACCTGGCTGAGAGCCATAATTTCCAGCAAATACATTCAAACATATCCTCTGTAACACACCTACCTAAATGTACAGATACACCAGACTACTTTCTAAATAATTCTTTCGCGCATTGCGCAGTAGTACGATAAAGAAGGTGTCGTCTCAGGGCATTACTGGCAATTTTTCGTTCTCCTGGCTATAATAGATAAATCTCCATCCGAACGATAGGTATTCACACTAAAATCTTGAACAACACTGCTGGCGCAGCCTGTTTGGCCAGTGTTTGGCCAGTCGAGTTTGTTGATCATGCTCTGTCTTTCCATATTCTTCTCTTGTGGCCAACATTGCAGATTAAATTTAAAGCAACTAAGCAAGATGTTAAAAGTTGATCTGTGTACAGGTACGTACAACACTACATTCATCACTCATTTGCAAACAAAAAGTCAAAATTCTTACGGGAAGGGGGCTTGCCTGGGATGCCACATCGTGCACAGTTAGAGCAAATTTCTGGAACGGTGCTTAGAAGTTCAGCCACTGTTTGTTTCTTTGTAACACGTTGAACATCCAAACGAGACGGTTCTTCAGACTTCAGATTCTCATCAGAGCTCGCGCCATGCGACGCCAATTCTTCAAGCCACTCATCTATATCAGAATCTACAGCAGTCGGGCTTCTAGGAGGCTTTGGGATCGGGCTATTCAAATGAAATTGTTCAAATGGGTCCTCTAGAGACTTTGCGATCGGGCTATTCAAATGAAATTGTTCAAATGGGTCCTCTAGAGACAAAACATCACTATTTGGGCCTTCAGTAGACTTTGAAGCTTGAGGAATCGTCCATTGCTCCTCTGTGGCCCGTTTAGCAATTAAACGAGACGTTCGTTCGATCTCGTACGTCGCAAGACTCAAGCTATTCGACGAAAGCTGTCCATACTCTTCCTCATCAGAAAATAAAGTACTTCGGCTTTCAGCCAAACTTGAAGCTTGAGGGTCCGTCGATTGCTCATTCGTGCCGCGTTGAACAACTATACGAGAAAAGTCGTCTCTCTTGTATGTCGCAGCGCTCGGGTTATTGAAATCAAAGTGTCCAGATCCTTGACTTACATTGGAAGATGGTGTGCTCTTGATTTCTGCTGACCCTGCAGCACGAGGAACCGGAGATGGTGCAGACGGTGCCGCAAGAGGAACCGGAGATGGTGCAGACCGTGCAGCACGAAGACCCGGAGATGGTGACTTACGAGTGTGTCGAGCAACGGTGTAAGACAATTCTTCTTCGGGCCTTGAAGCTTCATCAACTGGAGGTTTTAGAACAACTACGCGAGACAATTGTTCAACCTCATATGCCGTAGCGTTCGGGTTATTGAACACAAAGTGGTCATACACTCCGGGATCGGAGGACTCAGCTTTGTCTGGGCTTGGGATCTCCATACTGTCAACAGACCCTGCAGCACGAGGAACCGGAGATGGTGCAGACCGTGCAGCACGAGGAACCGGAGATGGTGCAGACCCTGCAGCACGAAGATCCGGAGATGGTGACTTACGAGTGTGTCGAGCAACTGTGTAAGACAATTCTTCAACCATGTACGTCTTAGCTCTAGGACTGTTCAACGCAGGGTGTCCAGACGCTCCCTCTATATCTGAAGATACAGCTTTTGGATTTTCTCCGGGCCTTGAAGCTTCATGACCTGGAGGTTTTGGAACAACTACGCGAGACAATTGTCCAACGTCATATGCCATAACGCTCGGGATATTTAACACAAAGTGGTCAAAAACTACACGATCGGAGGATTCAGCATTGTCTGGGCTTGGGGTCTCCATACTGGCAACAGTTTAACACGTTAAAACCTTCAAAAATACCACATAGGTTAACGGGCAAAAATGAAATATTCCCGTAAGACACTTTTCAGGAGAAAGATCTTTACTTTCACCCTTTGACGGCTTATCCTGTACTAATACGGAGTTAAAGCTGATGCCTAGGCTATAAGGCCGTACTATTAAAGTATGACTGTAGAACTTGTAATATTGAAAATTTGCAGGACATGCGTATGTTCGAATGATCGTAACTCATTCAATTCCTACTCTATTCTCACAGTAGAGATATTAGCGGTGATCAGCTAAGGCGGACCTATAGCTCTAGAGGAAAAAAGTAAATAATAAAGTTTTTGTAGAGATGCACTAAAGTGGTCCTTTTCAATGAAGAAAGGAGACGATCCCTTGCCAATTCGAGTCTCTCCTGCCCTCCCCAAGCACCTCGACATCAGGTGGATCTTCCTTTACCATTTTGGCGAAGCTGTTCAGGGAAATCAGTTGTGTAAGGCTGTGTAGCCAACATTCGAACTGGGAGAGCTTGCATTTACAATTCAAACGGCGATTGATCGCGCTTGTCTAAAATACCTATTTGTTGAATAGGTAGATAGAGTTACTCAGCCTCGCAGTTGTAAACTTCCTGGAGTTCATAAGGCTAAGCAAGTACTACTCTGAGAATGAGTTATGTCGGCCTGGGCATAGTCACTGGCGTTGACGCCAGCTCAGAAATGGCTGAAATAGACCGATCCCCTTATTATACTGGGTTCAAGCACGGGGGCAACCTCTCTCGCGATCGAGCTAGTTTTTGAACGTGACCGCATCTTTGACAGTGTGTTTTCAGATTTGTTTTGGAATGTCTTCTGCTTAGTTCAAGTGGTTTGCGATGGCTTCGAGCGGTGCTGAACCTCCTGCTAGTAGGAGCAGAGACTCCGAGAGAGACATGGGCTGTGATGCAGCTGCAGGATTTTTTGAAGGCGCGGGAGGGAAAGATCTCGGGCCACAAACAGGAGTTACTCCAGGGGTGAGTTTTTGTTGTTCGAATCGCGAATCGTATCGTGAGATTTATTGTTGTGTTGTGCCTAGTCTACACCGTATTTCTTTCTCCTTGAAGTCGGTGCTGAAGACTATAGTAAACTTTTCTGGTCTGCCTTTTCCTCTCCAGAGCCATCTTCTATGAAGGTAACCGTGGTGCTGCCAGGTCACGATCGCGATCAGCAGCCCTGAAATAGAAAAATCGATTTTCCAACGGTCTGGTTGGACATCAGCCACGAAAGTACTTCTGATTCGGCTGTAGTGACAACAGCAGCCATCCTTGGACACCTTGCAAAGGCAGAACAGCCAATGTTGGAAGTGACTGCTATGTGGTGACGATAGCAGTGGCGATCGCTGTTTTGTCAAGTCGAAGGGCTAGCCAACCCAGAGGGAGCATTCAAAAACAATGATGAGCAGTATGTGGTATTTGTTGAGCGTGAAGAGCTCGAGGAGGCCAGTGCAAACACATCGTGTGTGACATGGAAGGAGTGCATGGCGTTTGAAGAACAGTGCTGTGTGCCGGATGGTGGTGATGGTGGTCTTTGTCAGCATGTATTCGTGCTGCTTCTTGTGCTGGAACATTTCTCGCCCAGGAAGGCAGATTGCGTGCTCCCTGTCCCTCAGTGGGCAATGGGGTGTTTGTTCCAGGAGCATTACCGCAGAGCCAGTGATGAGTCGTACCTTTGAAAAGTCAAAGCTTGCCGTTGATTGGAAGCGTAGCGCAGTGGATTGCTCCCTCTTCGAAGCACGATGGCCAATGCTTGCCGCTGTCTGCAGCAAAGTATGTATGCGGTTCTTTCGAAACTATGTAGTCTATGCAGTCTCCTCTTAGGGAGACTGCGTGTTCAGAGTGAACTATTTTCTAGTATATTTAATGTGAAACGGGCTGTCAATGCCCAAGATGAAGATACAGTTTTTTCCGTTTCTGTACCTTCCTAATAAAATACATTGTGACAGAGCTTTCGGCCATACTCCACTTTACAACATCCTCAACCCGTCACCATCATGCGCTCTTGGCCGAACTAATGCACGAAGCATAAACACACCAGCACAGCAAGGACACTTTCGTTGACAGATACTGGTTATGCCTAAAGACTGCTGTTGCGTTCCTTCGAGCTCATCGTTAGAGGAGGATACTAATGATGTTACTTCAAAGAAGTAGATAAGATAATAGAGTGTCTGGTCTGATATTGATGATTGGAGATCTAAGAAGGTAATGACAGTGGAACGTATATTAATATCATGATAACTGGTATATGCCAGTCTGGTAATGCGTTGTACTGGCGGACAGTGTGCCAAGTGCTCGTTATCTTGGCGCCACAATCGATTCCGGCATGTCCTGGCACGCCCACATTGCCAAATGTTCTGCACGCGTGTCGCAGAAGATCGGAGCACTCTGGCGAATGCGCCGCTGCCTGAATCACCAGTCATGCATGACCTACTTTAGATCGCTGATCATGTCTGACCTGCTGTATGCCTCAAACGCGTACTCTAGCTCACTGCAAAGAAGGTACCTCGACCGTCTACAGGTCCTGCAGAACAGCGGGGCTCGTGCTGTCTTTGGCCGCCCTCCGTGGTCGTCTGCCCGCAACCTGCTGGAGCGCATTGCAGTGTTCCGTGTGGCAGAAGTCTTCAATCAGAAGCTAGCATACCTGGTGTGGCGCTGTCGTTATGCACTGGCAAGTCCAGAGTTGCAAGCCCTGCTAACCCCCGCTGCACCCGGCCCTACTCGGCTCCAATCTGCCATGGGCCTGTGCGTGCCAGTTTCCCGTTCGGTTGCGGGGCGGGGGCGCTTTGCTTGCAAGGGTGCTGTATTATGGAATGCCCTCTCCAGCGACATCCGTGCCATCCATCACGCTCGGCAGTTTCGCACGCAGGTAATCCCCTATACCTGCACCCTGTAGATGCTGAAGACAAGCGAAATCTGATTCTTTCTGTTCTCTTTCTGTAGTACCCGATCTCCCTCTGATGTACCGCTGACTCTACGTTGAAGATCAAAGTATTTGAATTCTCATTCTCATTATGATTTTCATATTCGCTTTAATGTTATTGGGTTCTATGCCCGTTTGAACTTGCGAATCAAAATAAATACAAAAAACAAACAAACAAACAAACAGTATTGAAATCACCACTGCATTCAATGCAAAATGGTATACCTTTGGTTTCAGCATTGAAAAAAAGAATAAGAGAACTTGGTTGATTTGGTTGCATCTACGACTGGCTACCGGGTGTTGTGACCAGCAATGTTACCATGGGAAAAAATAAGAGCGCAAGGATCTGTTGGGTTTTGTTGTGCCGTGCCGGTGCGAGAACCCTAAGTGCATGGCTAAATAGAACAGTTTCATCCACAATGCAGAATGTCTTGCGGTACATGGCATTCATGACTGAACATCTGGCCGGCTCGCCCAGATGGGAATCATGCCCAATCGGAGGAACAAGAAATCTTTCCAGCTCAGCTAGTTATATACCGTTAAACGGATGATGTACTTGTGCCAAATATGCACGCGAGCTTCTCTTCCATTCGGCCGAGGCGTAGACACATCAATGCCAATAGCAGCTGATGCTCCATTCCATGCTCAATGGCGATTTACGGCCACATCCAACTGTATCTGCCGTCCCTCAGCTTCTGTCTTCGCAGATCTGGCGCGGCGCAGTACATTTCTTGGGCTAGGGTCAAGGAAGTCCCACAGAGCTGTCCAAACACCTGAAGGCAAACCAGTCAGAAACTGGAGCGGCTCATAGTCTTCCTTTATGTTATCGTACGTAAGCAGATGTTTTTCGCCTTTCTTCACCCCATCGCCCAACTGGTCCTCGAGACTCTGTACACGAGCTCTACTTGCTGCCCGCTCTTGATGCAGATGGTGCACTTCCATTACAAAACCTAACTGGACTGAGCCAGGTTCCTTTCCAACTCAAAGTGCTGTTGATTCTCAGCAAAATACTGAGTTTGTGAGCATGGGGAGCTCGTCATGCAGATGCTGCACTTCCAATACAGGACTCGGAACTGCACTAGGCCCAGCAAATACTGTTTTGCGAGCCTGGGAAGCAGGGCGTCCAGACTCCACTCTCTTGCGAAAAGCAAACCAGGTAGGACAGCTGTTTGGTTTCCTGGACTCATCCTGCCCTAGTAGAGCTGGGCAAAACGATTTCGATTTCGGGATCGAAATGGTCGCTGCAACCCGAATATTCAGAGTGACCCTAAAGCTACGTCCTTCCTCAAGGGGAATAGCCTGGATCCGCTTGCTCCAGGCCGCTGTGGCTCCACCTGAGGGAAAGAGTGAAATGACTTGTTTGCTTCGTCCTCCTGCTCTTACAATGAGGAACGCAGCAATGACCCTGAGAAGGCATCCTGAAGTCGTAAAAAAGAAGACGTCTGAACAAAAACAAACAGCTCAAATCAAAAGTCCTTGTGACATTTTTTGTAGACAGGCTTGCTGCATGTAGATTTCGCGTGCTCTGCACTTTACTTCGCATGCGAGAAGTCACGCACAGCCACGGTGAGGTTGTTCGCGTGTGTGAAGCAGGATCCCACGCGTGGGCGAAGTTGCCCCCTTGCTCGAACCCAGACAATAATAAGTGGATCGGTCTTTTACAATCAATTCATGCGACAACATTGCGCGACACTGATCGACGGTACTGACGTTCTACAACTATCTGGCTAACAGCTCTAGCACATCTTGGTTGCGCACTCCAACAGCCTTCCAACTTGGAAGGTTCTAAATTTAACTTAATAAAGAAATAACACATGGCCCAGAAGCTGCGAAAGGCAGGCTAAGGGTCAAATTTCAGAAAATGACTTTTCCCATTTTCAGCTTCTACTGGGCATGGGAGATCAGGAAACAAAATATTACACGTGTGGGTCGACTCATAGTGATATTAAAAGTGTCTCAAACACACCAGGGCATGAAGAATAGTTTGGTGCGACTTGTGTAAAATAATCCTAAAACAAAAACTATAAAATTGTTATCACAGGAAAGAAATGAAGAGAGATCCACCAGACTGAAGGGAGAGACATGGATGATTTTTGTTTAGGTGACATGAGAAGGTAGGCGTGTGGGGGCTGGCTTGTTGTGGCCCCTTGGTACTGCAGGTT